CTATTACCAGAATCACCAAGATGGTTAGCAAATAGAAACAGATGGGATGAGGCAACCTACAATATTTGTAGAATTAATAAAACCGATATCCATAATATTTCTGAAGAAGTCGCAATTCAACTTGAAGAGATGAAAATACAAGTTTCAAATGACAAAGAGGCTGAAATGTTTTCTTATCTTGATTTATTTAGAAAGAAAACTCTTCGAAAGACTATTGTCGGGATGTCAGCTCAAATGTGGCAACAATTATCTGGTATTAATGTAATGAATTATTATATTGTTTATATCTTCGAAATGGCCGGTTATACAGGGAACACTGCATTGGTGGCTGGATCTATCAACTATTGTGTTAATTTAGGTATGACAATAATTTCATTATTTGTTGTTGACAGAATAGGAAGAAGACCACTTTTGGTGATTGGGGGAATGTTTATGTGTGGATGGATATTTGCCGTTGCTGGTATACTAGCAGTCCATTCTGTTCGAGTCCCTGGCGGTGTTGATGGGGACCCTACAGTTAGTATTTCTATCCCTGATACAGACAAACCTGCTGCAAAAGGTGTAATTGCTTGTTGCTATTTGTTTGTGGGTACTTTTGCAGTTACATGGGGTACTGGGATTTGGGTTTATTGTTCCGAAATTTTTAGTAATACAGAAAGAGCCAAAGGTGCCTCTATATCTGCCACTATGAATTCAATCTTCAATTTTTCTATTGGTTTGTTTGTTCCAAGTGCATTTGAGAATATTACATGGAAAACATATATAGTATTTGGTGTGTTCTCAGTCGTTGGGACGATCCACGCATTTTTGATGTTCCCAGAGACCAAAGGTAAAACCCTGGAAGAAATCGATCAAATGTGGGATGCAAAAATTCCAGCTTGGAGGACTTCCTCTTGGAAACCAATTATACCAACCAATGTTGTACATGATGGATTCAACATCAACTCAACAGAAGAAAGTTCTTCTAACATGCTTGATGAAGATGATGTTAATAAAGAAATAGAGAAACCAGATACCAATCACATAGAGGATGCTGGAACAAATTCCCTCTAAAAGGTAATACATACAGCCAAAATAAAAAACAACAAGCTATACCAGTCAACTATACTGGTGCCTTATCATTATAAGTCTTAACAACCACTGTACCTTCCTTGTTTACTTTATTATTATTAAGTTATAATGAACAATATTTATTTCTAATATTTATTAATTTTATTTATTATACTGAATAAAACTGTATTAAATTACTATTACAAGTAGGTTGTATTTCAAATTCAGTATAAAAGAGATAGGTGCATCAAGAGCAAATGCCATTGAAGGTGACATTGCATTCTTTAATATCAATGACAGAAATTATTCATGGTGTATTTATTATATACGACATACCATACCATTTTTGAAGCGATGCCGAAACCTTCTTCCTATTAACCAGATCAGGAAATTGAAGAAATATCGAAATTATGATGAAATGTGAACCTGAATAAGAACTATTTAATAAAGAAGTTTCGAACTAGGTTGTTTAAATGAGAGTAGCTATGATCAGGATAGAGCACTCTGATGACTGGGTCTTTAGAAAAGGAGATTACGTTGACTTTTCTTCGGAATTTTAGAGATTCTCCTGTGCTATTGAAAGAATATGGACCATATTTAAGTTATCACTACAAAGTTGTTGCCAATGATGGTGAGCTAAGTTTGAATGCTGTCCGTATCTGTGAAGAACTATTCAACGATTGGCAAAATGGAGATCATACTATTGCTAAGGAGGTTGTACAGTGTGCACTTGATATGTGGTTTGTTATGAAAGGTGAGGAGTATGATTTGAAAGGTTTTGAATATATTCCAAATTTAATTATCCAAGAAATAGACGTTGCAAAAGGAAAAAACACAGGCGAAATTCACAGAATAGAATTTCATCCTTCAACAAATGAACCTATTGATGAACCACTGAACAACTTGATATTAGAAGAAGTTGAAGTCCATGACTTCATATAGTTTAGCTTTAGACCATTTTCAAATAACCGTGGTATTTGATACAAAATAATAGTTGCATTAAATGATATAAATAATTCAAATAATTAAATATTGTGTTACTTAAGATATAGAATTTTTACTGTTGTCACAATCAATCTTTCACCTTTTAGGTTTACTAAAAGAGACCATTAATTTTTTTTATAGTTCATTCATCAGTATCATTATCGTTAATATCGTCTCCATTTTGATAATTTGAACCCCTATAATATCTTGGTTCATCAAAAACATGGTAATAATGTCCTCTTTCACCTTCTCCCAAGAACATATCAGGGAATTTCATATCTTCATTTTCTGGTTCAGATGAATGTGTAAAAGAATATAAATCTTCACCATATTCTTCAACTTCATTATCAGATAAAACTTGGAATTTCCCTACTTGCAACTCTGTATCTGTAATAGTACCTCTAGCAACTCTTGCATAACCAGTTCTTCTTAATTTCTTAAACAAGATATATTCACACCATCTATCATCGTCGGTTGGATCAATATCATACATACCAGATTTATCACTGACATATGTATTATAGTTACCAGTTAGAGGTTCGGTAACCAAATAACTTAACAAAATGGCTGGCCTATTTGTGCTACCCATCAGTCTTGATAGTTCTTCTGTTTGTAATCTTCTATCTTCAACATCTTCTTCTTGACCACTATGGAAAACAAAAATATCGACTAGAATATCGTCATATGTTTTAATCGTGGCATGAATTGCAGGAGCCAATTCACCCACGGGCGATGGTAGCAAATAATGAGTGGAATTGATAATTGGGAATTTAGAAAACAATGCACAACCCCATGTGTGCTTGTTTGGTCCTGGACCATAGTCTGCATACATACCCAATTCATGAGCCATTTTACTTGTCAAATCTCTGTTACCCATAACAATATGTTGAGTATCAGTCTCTAAAATACCAAAGACATCTAATTCCATTTCTCTAACCAATTCAATCATTCTATCTTCTGAGGCCCACATGTCATTATCTAAACCGAAATGTATAGTCCAGATACCCGCGGTGATCAACTTGGAGTCAGGGTGGTATGGTTGTGGTACTTCTTTTAGTTGTAATTCGTTAGTGAAATTTGCAATCAGAGCCAAAGTCAAAACCACAAACAACAATAAGCGTCTAACAAATTTGCCACCAAGGGCGGATCCTTTTTCCAACACTTTGCCGTTTGCAATTAACGCACCTATTATAATTAAGAGTGTTGATGTTCCAAGAACAACCTCAATGCTCTCTCTTAAAATCCAACCAAATGGAACAAATGCGTAAGCAGTTACCCAAACATGAGCTAAGATGTATAGGTCATGGACAAATCCGGCCAAAGCAAAGATCCATAGACTGTCAATTGCACTCATGGCAGACAAATATGTTGGAACTAAGAATATCATCGATATGATATAACCTAGACCACCATAAATATATTTATTCCATTCTTTAACATCTTTATTACATAGAACAGCTGTGGAAGCCATCAACAAAACGGTTGGGAACATGGCTCTACCAGTGAAGAAAGTAGCAAAGAAAGCTGCTAATAACATAACGACACAACTCAATGCAGCCCATGGCCATGGCAATGGACCTTGTGAGGTTTCACCATAACCTTCCCAAGACCAGTAGATAAGAGTTGAAGAATCAGTTAGTAATTGATGAATTGCAAAAATCATCGAACCAAAACCAAGAGCAATGAATAATTTGGAGAAGAAGGAAGTTTTAATAGCAGATTTCTCAACTCCATTTTCACCTACAAAATGAATAGAGTTGACATATGGAGATAAGATACCAAAAATTGTAACAAAAATCAAAGCAGTCTTATTGTAACCTCCATTTTCTTCGTGCATAATTGGCCAAATTGGGTTGTTTGAGAAAAATCCCATTTTCATAACAACTGATAATACTAAACCAAGTAACCAGCAAGATACAAAGGCCCCATTAATTCTAGATGATTTAATCGATTGAATAGTTAGTGCAAAATATGACATTATTATTACAGCACCTGCACAAACGACTAACAATCTTGATTCTGGGATATACACCAAGTATGAACCAATAGATATCAAACCACCAACTAAACAACCATATTGATAAATAATATTTGGTACGGTTGGGAAAAGTAGAACAACAGAACCCATGTAACCTAAAATTGACGCTTCATAACCAGAGATACCCATGTACCACAATGGGAAGTGCCAAACAGAGCAACCTAGAGCAGTCAAAGTAGTCCAGAAGATAAATGAGTTGAATAAATTGGTAATAATGTAGATATAGGAATCATAGGAAGGTGGATTGTCTAAATGAGAAATATAAGTTATTTCTTCAGTTTTTTCAATTAGAATTTCAATATTACTATCATCTGCTTGAATAACCTGAGTGAAAGAAGTGTCTATTTCTTCAGTTGTGAAACTGTCATTATTTTCAAGTAATTCCTCCTTTTCGATACCTACAATGGTAGCAGTCGCGGAATTATCTTCTATTTTAGCATCGTTTTTAACCTTAAAAAACCAACTTGCTTCTTCGCTTACTGAATCTGCATTCATACCGATATTAATTGTAATATCACTGAAATCTGTGTAAGACAAAGAATCGAAGGTAACATCAAAAATAATCAAAGCCCATTCAAAGTATGCATATACAGAGTAGGCACCTGGAATATGATGGACTTGATGTTGGATATACCAATAAATCAATGGGAATAAAGTGATATAGAACATTGAAGCTACACTAGTATGTTTCAATTTTGTTGAAGAATTTTTAGTGATAACGATATTCCAAGGTATAGTCAAAACCATGTAAGAGATCATGAAAACATCGTGAGTTAAATGGTCATCCGTACTTGTGATGTAGACCCAACCACCGCAGGTGACAGTTCTTACAACACCAACAATTAATCCGAAAAGAGAACCATTTAAATAGTAATGACCTAATAATAGTAAGAATCTTGGGAAAGCTGTTAAAGCTATCAATATTTGGAATAGAGATCTTTCAGGATAACGATCTCCGATAGTAGCAGAAACACTTGGGAACCATTCTTCTGGGTAACCATAGTGTGCATTTTCTACAATTTTATGAAAATGTAAAGAATACCCAACTATTAAAGCCACTAGAAAGGCAGCAGCAGCACATATAGTATGTGTTAATGGAATTATTTTCCCATTAACAGATACCATTTTAATCTGTAAATAAATAAAATCAATAGCTGGTATAGATAATAAATTCAGGTACCAAGTAACAATTTAATTGCTTTGATGCTACTAAAAAAAGAACAAAAAGATCAAAGCTTGTCTTTAACCAAACTAGACAATTAAAACACAAACAATACTTCGATAATAGATCAACTGGGACCCAACAATACTTCGATAATAGATCAACTGGGACCCAACAATACCTCACCCATATTAGAACTCTTCTCAAACCTCCAAGTAAAAATAAATGGTTTAATTAGCCGTCTCCTTAATGCTTATAGCAAGCTTTTTTTCAATTAAAGTTTCAAAAATGTCCTTTAATTTTTTTTGATGAACCTTTCTTTGCCATTAGAGAGGAAAATATTCATATCACGTGATCAACAAAAGGAAGCGATATTTGCCAAACCAATGCATTGAATAATGATCAATTGCAGTTGGAATGGATCATCGTCATTGTTCTAGGATTTCATAGTTGCTGAGAGCGCTAATGTTATTATTTTTGTAATTTATTTTATTGTAGAAAAATAATGATATATAAAATTAAAGAATAAATTAAAAAGTTTTAAGAATCTTGAAATATAAATTTAAAAGGTAATCAATGAGTGCTTGCAAGGATGGAAATAGTTTTGCAATGCAGACTGACTGCACAGAGGGCAGGAAAGGGAAGTTCGTTACATAAAAGGGTGAGAGACCTTGAGAAAGAGAAAGTAAATGAATAACAGAATGAACAAAAAAGTACCAAAAAACTTGAAAATAAAAACAACTAGAATTGCTCACACTGGATCTATTGAGAATTCGTGTCCTTTGTCTGTTCCTTTGGCCATTCATTTATTCTTTCTCAAATTGCTAGGACCGATCAAGCATGGTCGACGTCACCAGCAAAGATACCCTTTTCTCTTTGTTCATCCCATTTTTCAATCCAATCAACTGGACATAGAGAAGAATAAGTCTTCCAGAATACTTTACAAGGAGCAAAATCTTCACCTTTCAAGTTGATACACTTGTGGTAGTCAACATATGATTGCCAGCAATGTTTAGTTTGGTTTTGGTTTGGGAATCTAGCATCGAAGCCAACGGTATGTAAAGCGGACTCTTGTTTGTTTTCAGACATTTCGTAGTCAATATTGTTCTTGATATATTAGTTGCTGTTATAGTTGGATAAAATAAAAACCTATTTTATTAATGATCTATCCTTTACTTTGTAAAATATAAAGAGCCACACATACAAAATGCATATGGTGCAAGAACTATAAATGTATATGAGTATATATAGATTCTATCATTCTTAAATGTGTCAATTGAAGACGAAATTAAAAGTGAAATTGACCATTTCTCTCATCTTAATGTGGGTTATTAACGATAAATTTCCAATATTCTACTTCGTTGCCTGTTGTCAAGAGTAGAGAGCGTATTAAAAAATAGAAAAATCAGTTTCGAAATTTATTGGACAAAGGTCACGTGTGTCTTTTTTTTTTTCTTTTTCTTTTTTGGCGTTCTTTCAATTACTACTGTTGTAGTACTAAGGTTAGTTATCAAACCAACCATTCATTTAATGTTGAAGGTTCTTCATGTCAGTATACTCATTGCTTTATTAACCAATTGTGTTTTGTTTTCTTTGTCTAATTCCTTTAGCAATCTTATCAATTGAAAACACATATCCCAAGATTCCGATGCTTTTTGTTTGTCTGAACTTGCTGCAGCTCCTGTAACTAATAATCTTAAAACTTCTAACATCAATTGCTCGTCTCTTAAGACGTTAGCAACAGTGGATGACGATTCTTGCCTTTCTCCTGTGACGTCTTTTAATTGGGGCTCGTTGTTTTCCATTTCCTCCCTTAAATTGTCCACCAGATCAGATTCATTGTAGTTTAAAAACACCAGTAACAGTACGCCTAATAGTTTCACATCGTTTGATTCAATACATAATGCCAATAGATCCTTAGGTGTCAGTTCTAGACTTTGGAATAGATAATTCCAATGCTTGGTTTCAATTTTCCTTAGGCAATTACTGATTATCTCCAATAAATTGGTATTATCGTTTCTAATAAACCCATTTACTTGTACTTCACATGTCTTTTTAATTAATTTAATAATGCCATCTAATGGTTCATTGTCCAAAATCTTTTGAGATAATATTTTTTCTAGTGCAAAATAATAATGCTTCAATGTTCCATATTGGGCAGATAGTTCAGATGGATCAATGCCTTCTGATAATTTCATTGAAAGTAATTTATCTAAATAAATATCATGCTTGACTGTACATTTTGTGCTTTGAGGACGATATATTATATGGATTCCATGTAAAGTTGCAGATTCAGGTAATACAGAAATCGGATAAAAATCATCATCCACTGGGATTGCTAGTGATTTCTTTTTCATGTTCCAAATATTCTCTAGTGTATATAACTGAACACACTTATTTTGAATCAGATATATATCATCTTTTAAGACATCGATTATTCTCTCAACTCTGTCTAATAAAACTTCAACTTTCCAATCTTCGTCCTTGATTCCACGAACAACTTTATAAATTTTACTTCCAGCGTAAACCAATAAGCCATCTTTATAGTTGGTGATCCAACTAATAAATTCCATCGAAATCTCTGGTGGGATATTAATCTCCAGATATTGATGAAATTTCTTGATTACATTAATACCAGATGCATGGGGTATGGAAATAACGTCAATCACAGTGATATAATTATCAAATAACAAAATTATTTCACCCGTTTTGAACATATCTTCAGTATTGTTATCTGCTTCGGAACTAGGTCTCTTCTTCTTTATTTGTTTGTGCCTGAACAATGTATTCACTACGAAACGGAAATCATTGATATCGTTTGGTATAGAATGTTCCCAAATAACGTATTCCATGAACGATTTTTTATCTAAACCCTCCAATGGCAATCTTAAACAACGAATAATATTATTACCATTCTTTTTTATGTGACATACCAAATAGTTATTACCTAACCATTGAAAATCGATTATTATTTGATCTAAAAATGGATACCAAATACCAGTTTCCACATTTTGTACTAATAGAATGTTTTTATTTGAAACATATGCAACAATTAGTGTAGAATTACTGTTGATTCTAACAATTGGCACACAGTTGTTAACGGTACGTGTCGGAAGTTTCAAATTTAACAATATATCATTTTTTGCATATGGATCAACAGAAGTAGAGTATAATGAAATATCATTATTCAGATTATGAACTACGAATGAAGTAGGACTATTAAAATCGTAGTGACTCTGGGGTAATTCTTGCCAGAAATTCCAAGATTGGTAGTGGCCTGTTTTAGAAACTGCAATCAAACGCATGTCATAATATGCAAAATCTGAATAATCAAAGCCGTAGGTATTATCTTCATCAATTTCTGTTGAAAATAGCAAATTACCAAATTCTGAGTACAAATACATGGAATTTTTATTTGATATTAAAAGTAAAACGTTATTAGTCAATCTATCACAGAATTTGATTTTAAAATTAGTAGACAATTCTGTAATTAATTCGCTTGATTTTGGTTTATAAAATTCAATCTTATTTTCTTTTACAAGCGTTAAAGTATCTTTATATTGAAATGACGAAATTAATTTTTCTGTCGATTTAAGATCTTTAGCAAATGCATGCCTTTTGACTATATCTATCTCATTTATAATTGTTTCATTACCATTTGTTTCTGAAATAACGAAAAGATGTTTGGAGACCACAATTATCTTTTTACCATCGTTAACTTTAACTAATTCTGATTTTTGTACTTTAAAATTATTAAAATGAATAATTTGCAAACCATGAGGGAATAATAACAACAAATTCTCTTCCAAGGTTTCCTTGTCGATTGAATCAAAATTTTTGAAACCCAAAAAATCTATAATTTCGTGATCGAACTTCAAGATAACCTTTAATCTTAATTCTAATCTTTTCACTGCCAATTCTTCTTGAGCCTCTACTGTCATTTTAAAATTTTGAAAAAACCCTTTTCCTCTTTTTGTCAAATAACCATTTTGAATTACCATACTTTGGTTATTCTTTTGCACTACAGTCAATGTATTATCATCTCTGGTATCTTCTTCATTTGGATTAAATTTCTTACATTTAGTGGAGGCAGCAACAACTGGAATGCCAAAATCTCTGAAAGTAACTAAATTTGTAGCATTTTTAAGAATTTGATATGCTAATAAATAATTTTTATCTGTAGAAACATAAAAAACGATTTTACCCTTATGGTAAGGAAGATATTCTGCATCTGCCCTGGATACTAATCCCTCAACCTCATCGATAAATACTACTGAAGATGACATTCTTACATTCACACCAAAGTCGACTATAGACTCAGCCGTACGTTCATGAGTAGCCACTAATGCTAAAGGTTTGAAGTTGTATACAAGCACTCTCCCTGGAGTAAGCATAATTAGGATATTAGCTTGAGGTACCGGTACTGTTTGTAAAATTTCATTGTCGTTAATATCCAGGGTAATGTTATCTTCGAATTCAGTGAACCTGTCATGAATTTTCAATTCCTCAGGAGGACTTACTGGCCACATTATTTATAACCCAACACGTTGTATATATGTTTTTTTAAAATTATTTTGAACTTCAGACCTCAATTGGTAACATATAATCAATTAATTGATTCAAATTATCAATCTGTGGAAATTGTAATAAAAAAAGGAGTTTGCCAATTGATGACTAAATTTAAAATTGAAGTACAATAATAATATCTAAGTATGACAAGATTCTATACTGGATCAGTTCAAAGGTGATATTCCAATTACAAACCTTCAAAGATCATAGATCAAGTTCTATATTGAATTGTTATGTTTACAGGTTTTCGAAATATCGATTAATGGCGATTTCGGGAATATAAGAGAAGTTCGTATAGAATGTACGGGATCTCGAAATTCTAAACCAAGCCAGATCCAGACATATCTAGTCAGATCTGATAGTTAACGAACTGAAAGAAGGCGAAGATGGATAAAGAATAGGCTTGCTACTTATAAGTAAAAGTCAGATGTATGCAAATATATTTATATATAATAATGTCGAATATTGGAAATCTAGTTCTGAATTATAAGATGAAGGCTTTCCGTTTTATAGCAAGCGAAAGGAAAGTACGGTCGTTCGCTATTTCAAATAAAGAGAGTTTGAAGAAGACTGTGATTAAAGTCTTTATTGCATAAACTGATTCATTGTTATAAAATAATCAAAGATTTTCAATGATATTTTTACAAATGTACCGTAATCTCTTTTTAAAGTGACACCTCAGGTCTCTACACTTTAGTTGGGGTGGGGGTGGAGGAAAGAATGCCATTAATATAACTAAGTTAGGCATTGCCGTCAGATACCGTCGGTGCATGTAAAGAAATACATCATTATCTTCGAAATAAGTGTATTTAGCTGGATATACCAAATAAGAGAGACTAACCAATTGATCTGATGATATCGTATATGAATATTAATTCGACGGGCATCTAAAAGAAACCAAAAAAAAAAGAAGCAAGATCAGAGCTAACGATTTAACTGAGATTCTTTCAACCCTATTCTTTATCTTGTTGGAACAGGTCATGAAAAAAGATCGATTAAGAATAACTTTAAATTAATAGAAAACAGTTCTACTTTTGGGATAGAATCCCCTATAATAGAATCTCTTTTGATATAATGATAGACTTCTAACCCTCTGTTCATTATTCCGTATGTTTCCTTTCCTCCCCAACTTGTGAAACTGATGGTTTTATTTTTACGTACTTTCTTTTCACGAATACATAAATATACTATTGTCTTGTCGAGATCTATGGCCTCCTCTGAAACTTCCTTTTGCAAGAAAAAGAGATATCATCTTTACCTCTAAACCACCAATACGCTGTTATTGGCTATAAAGTGTTTGTTCTAAGTATGACCCTCTTCATTTGCATTTGCATTTGCAGCGATATTCTGTCGTATGAAATCCTATTAGAAGAAATTTAGTTATAAGACAAGATTACAATATAAACAGTCCAGCAGTATTGAAGAATTACAACTATAGCTAACTTAAAATATCAAAACAAAATTCAAAAAGTAAAACTGCTGCTGCTGCTGCTGCTATTTATTATCTGTTTTATGATTCTGGATAGACCTAATTCGTAAATTGATGAGATACGTCTCGTGTCGCATATCCATATTGGGTTGATTTAATACTTCTTAAGATATTTGAGTTTCTATCTTTTGTCCTAAAGCTTTTATCTCACCTCAAATCAGAAGGATTGATCATAATTAGCTTCAGAAGAGGAACACACCACCATCACTACGAGTAGTAAATGGCACTAGTGGTAGTTGTGGTGGTGGTGGTGGTGATATCTACTGGAAAGTAGTTCAGTTCTTGGTTTCCAGAGATTGACCTTACAGTTGATAGGCCAAGAGATGTACTTTACTTTTGATGGCAAGTGTAATGAATCGGTCGAGCAGAAGGAAGCATGCACTTGGCTTTTTCAAGTGTGCTGGTATATATACCCCAATATTTTTGCAGGGGAAAATTGAATGACTTGTTAGCACGTGATAGTCGTCAACATTTTTGAGACAACAAGCCCTGGTCATAATTATCAACGACTGTAATATGATATCACTGACGCGTGTCTATGTCACTCAGATGGGACTATATCAAGCATGTTCTACTGTTAAAAATATAAAAGGTGATTTAAATCATATCTATCTATATTAGCAGTTATTTGTAAAATATCAGTAATTTTGATCACAATCAATACATTGGAATAATTACTACTACCATTCTTGCAAGAAGAGTAAACAGACTGTTACTATTTCCATTTTTCAATATATTTACCTTTCAGAGTTAATTAATTAAATGAAAATAGAGATACTTTAGGTGCGACAAAGATGAAATAAGGCAATGCAATATACGGTAAAAACAATCCAAAGAGTGTCATGAATATACATTATCAACTTACTCATCCTATACATACCCTAACTCAAACATACCCTAATCACATGACCGTGGTGTGGTTTTTTTTCTTGTTTGTATGTTCTCTTGGGAAACTTCAAAGACTTTGGTTGTCCTCTGGCGATAACCTAGACTTCTGGAACTTCCCTACCCCCCACTACCGAGACTCACAGAGAACGTCTATAGCCAAACTGAACTCTCCCAGTTTAGCTGCTTTTTCAAACATTAATTTGAGTCAACTTTTTTATTTTGTTTTTTTCATTGGAAATGCGTATTTAGTTTCTAACATTCTTGTTACTCGATCTTACTATATGTCTTTCTTCTTTAAATCTTGAACTAAAATGTTTCGAAGGACCTATGATATCATCAAAACTTCATAGCTTTAGTGATGGCCTCTGCAATATACTGAGAATACAAGTTATAGTCTGTGTGTGCGTGCATATTTATATATATGTGTATTTCGAGAAACCTAAGATATAATCGTATGGAGACGATGATTATTAGGACTGGCAGCAGCAGAAGTAATATATTTCTATTTATTGTGTAGGCAATCAATTATAATGATAACAATTACAATACGTATTTTTGTATGCCTAAAAGGGGATGGTGAAGATGGTATCTTTGAAGGGATGAATGATATCTCGAGTTGCTAGTTTCACATCTCCTGCATGTGTTCCCATTGCCATTTGCAGTGTGGGTTGTTTTCATCAGTGTCTGGTTGCTCCGGTAGAGTGATTACCGTAGCCGGGGTGTGGTTGTAACTACATTTGTACTATTACAGGGATGGCCCAAGAGTAATGGATTTGGTGTGTGAAAAAAAAAAATTGTCCTCATACTAAAAACCTCATGAGAGGGCAATTGGTCCCACCACCACCACCTTCTCCCCCCCCTCCTTCCCCTTGCCCGAGAAATTTCAACCATATCAATACGTTCATATGTCGCTTGGTCAGGTCATGTGGGGGTCATATGATAATCACATTTTTCTTGAAAACCCGAAGTATGATATTTTACGAGGAAGATATCAGGGACTGACATTTTTCGTCATGAACAAAGTAAGACCCGACAATAACCGTGATTCTAATAAGATAGAGAGATGTTCATAATGTTTATACTTCACAATAAACGTACAGTTAATTCACACATTTGTAATTTCTAATTCAATGATAAATCTATTCACTATGATATTTTAAAACTGCAATACCAACACCCACCTCGACCTTCCAATAAGAGAACCTCACAAAATATACCACCAATTGATACCATATTGATACCAAGACCTAATTATTCCCTATTCGTAAACCCTACTATAAGAAATGTATGTCATTACACACGATAATCCAATTTCCGAAATCTCTAATTTCGAAACTTCGAAAAGTTCTCGAGAAATTGTCCCGAATTGGCCAGCCCAGTTTCCACTTCGGGACCGAACATTGCCTGACGATCCCTAATATCCATCCATATCTTCTTCTTATAATATAATACTATATCTTCTTATTATATTATGATGGATAGTTCGTTGGTTGCCTACGTTTGTTTCGATTCTGCCCATCTTATCTACCCTTTTCACCCAATTGTATCCTCAGATCTATCCTATATCGTAGAAACTCATCCCTCCATGTCACCCACACACATGTCGTCGTCGTAGTTCTTGTTGCACTTATTAATTAATTATCATATCGAGATTCGAATCTACCCATATATATAAGTAAGTATGTCTCTATGCTCGAAACGATTTAATGGATTTATATGTATGTATGTCTATGTATGCAAGTATATTTATTTGTGTGCTGTTTTTTCGAATATTTCACTATAGAGTTCAATAATTTTAGCTTATCCCATCTATAGCAATGTTCGTTGCAAAAGATACGTTACCACATTCACAGGATTGTTTCCCTGGGAAACAGTCTTCCATTACAACATCCCCTCCTACTATTAGATTTCGTAAAGCTAGTTATTCAAATACATTAGAACCAAATAATAACCTTTCTACACAACCATTGTCACCATTATCACCACATGCAAGACGACTCTCCGTCAACGACAATGATATATTACCAGCAGATTCACTCTATGCGACAAATAATAGAGGGATAGGTAATCAAGATTGGGCAATAGGTAAAGTTCTTCCTACTCAATCTTGGCCAAATTCAAGCAGAAGAAATTCAATACTGGACATTCAATTTTCAATAAATAATAAAATTTCGTCTCTATTGTCATCACATGAACTATTATCAAGAGAATTATCAAATGTAATCACACCTTTATCGTCAAACGGTCCAGAATCGTTATTAACTGTACCAACTTCTAACCTTCATAAAGTACTTCAAATTTTGACTTCACTACAATCTCAAATTAACCAATTAATATCGTTAAAGGAGAACCTAGAGATTTGTAAAAAAGAAGCTACACCTTCAAATCCAACGTATATGACTGATGAGAATAAAAATTACAAATTACCTCCTATTTCATCTCTAACGGATAAATTAGATATTAATATTCCAAACAGTACAGGATTATATCCAAATTATGGAAAGAACGAATACGAATCAGATGATCCTGTGATACCTTTACAATTCCAACAACAGAATATTAATAAAAGAACGAGTTCAATAGACATGATGTTGAACCCAGTTTCAATAATAGGAAATGCTAATAATAAAAGATCGAAATCTGTTTCTCTAACTACTTCTTTACCTCTAGATTCAAGTGACAGAAATTCATATAAATTAACATCAACAGCACCTGCTGCGGTACAATCAGATTTTATTAGAGACTTTAAACTAACAAGAATTAGTTCAAATAAATGTTTGCAATGTGGAGAAACACAAACTCCTGAATGGAGAAGAGGACCATATGGAAATAAGACTTTATGCAATGCCTGTGGGCTATTTTATAGTAAATTAACTAAAAAATTTGGTAATAAAAATGCTAACTTACTCATGAGGTACAGACAAAAGACCTCACCCTCTGATAGAAAGGTACCAGTTGATATAGGAGTTCCTGATGATTATATCCAATTAATATCTCATGATACCACTCTAGATCAAGATTATTTTACACAACAATCATAGATAATAAGAATATGCATTAAATTGATATATAGATATATACTATAGTGTTACTAGATAATTGATGTTTCCTAATGAGTAATGAGTAATTTTATCTATAAGTTTTTATCTGTTCTTACCTCTTATAACTTTCCATGCTTTGAACCAATCACTCATATCACGTATCTTTTTTAGATCGTCTAAGTTAACGGTCGCAATCATATCATTCCAATTTATGGCAACTCCAAAGTTTATTAAGTCTTTAAAACTACTATGCTCCGAGTAAGGAACTCTAAACACTTGAAATCTTTTTTGGTTTCTTATACTGTTTCAAAATTGAATTAACATCCAGTGTATCGTATTTTCCCATTATCTTCAAGTAGCATTTCACAATGCTCGACTTTAGATTCAATGCTATAAACTCGTCTATTTTCCCCCCATACCTATTAGCAAAAGTCCAACCCGTTGGAACAAAAGCAATTACATTCCCCGTAGATATCTTTGAACTCTGACATATATGATTCAATTGTATCTTTGTTTCGAAGAACTGATATGGGTACTAAATGGACATTGGATTTACGAACATCATAAGTGATAATATTTTCTGGGAAATAATTGAAGTATTGGTTTATCACACTAAATCTTGATGAGTTTTTCTGAATAAATATCTTGCTTTGTAGTTTCTCAGCTACTGCAATGGCAAGTTTCTCTTTCCCAATTGAATAAGTACCAATAAGGAATAAGTTTTTATGAATTTGTCTATCCATTCCTATTGGTCTTGATAGGAAACCCATAATTGACTTTTGGGAATCATTGAATAATATCTTCTTGCCCTTTGTCTCAAGTTCATATGCAAATTCAGAAGTTATCTTTAAGACTGACTCCTGCAATGGGAAATGATAACCTGGAGTAAGGTATGTTGTGTCAAGATAAACTTCATCGATTATACTTCCTTTTGTAATACTTTGAATATCAGCAATCATGTTTTTATTGCTTCTAAAATCACCAGTATGCAGAATTTGTTTAATTGGAAGGGCATCGTCATCTTTATCCGAACCTTGCCATTCTTGGAACAAAAATATAACTGCACCAGGACAATGGTTAGCATCAAGTGTTATCACTGAAATGTTTGGATTTATCCAGTATTTTTCATTCAAATTTAATACTGTAATATTCTCTGGATTTATATTAAATTTGTTGACCATTAAATTCCCTGTAATTTCTGAACAATATATTTTACCTTGATCCCAGGATTTCTTTAAGCCTATATAATGGTCTGAATGAAAGTGTGAAAGGAAATAACTATTGATCGATGGATCCGACTCGTAATTAAACCCATCTACAACTACTTTATATGACTGAAGTTTGAAGGAAATGATTTTAACTGCTGGTAAAGGCGCTTTTGGTTTTGGAACTCGAGGTTCTTTTGGAGATTTTTTAACAATCTTACTCTCTCTAGTACTTACAGCTCTCTGTAAAACTTGTTTTATTTCAAAATTATTTTCAGCGCTTCCCTTTGGGATCATTGCAAAATCAATATCTTCCTCTACTTCGTAAATTTCTGTTTCACAATTAACAACATCATGACCTTGAATCTTTTCCAGACATTCTTCACAATGTGACTCCCTTAAATAAATTTCCAATTTGGAAATATCAACGTTACAAATAGGACACACAATGGTTTCATCATCAATTACTTCATAATTTGTTAGCTCTTTAATCCCACTTTCATCGCCAACAACTGTAGTGGTTTGTGAGATTTCTTGAACACTAATTATAGGATCGCAATCATCATCTTCATCATCGTCATTAATAATAATTGGATTCTCTTCCGATATTTTAGAAACTGGGACTGATGTTTCAATTGGCCCTCTCTTACCTATCCTAAGCGATGATGCAGTTGGAATATTAAACTCAAATAATTTAGATTGTCTCTTCGTAATACTCTTACTTCCTTTACCATTATAATTCGTTGAACCTTTGGACCTGGATTTCAATCTAACCTGTGAACCCTTTACTTCAACAATAGATCGCTTGGGCATCACTCCAAAGGCATAAATTCATTACCTTATTTAAAGCAATAGTATATAGACTTCTCCTTGTACAATAAAGACAAGGAATAACCACCACAAATATTAAACTCTAACTACTTGAATAATAAACCAACGGAACATATATCCAACAATGCCTTAGAAGCTAACTCTTTTGTTAATCAAGTTTCTGTTATACTTGATTCGATTCCTCTTTCCTGATCTGTTTTCACCAAATTCGATGATGTAATTTATTACATTTATGAACATTCCCGAAATTTTCACCAGGTAACGAACTACTATACTATGGTGAAGGATAGTGTCATATAATAATAAAACTGAAGTATGAATAATGGTATGAGTACAATTAATAGAAATATGTAACTAATATTTTTTTCTTCTGAGATAGATTTAATATGGTAAACATTTGGCGTAATTATTTTCTCTAACTGGTTCACCATTCACTGTGTTCAATGATTAATTATGGGTTAAGATTAAATGGTAGCAACAGTGAAAGTAGTGAGGCAAAGACAAGAATGGAAACGACTGTAGATATGTCCAATAGAATACATTATTTAGATTCATTTCCAGTTTAATTACATTCCTCATTCATATCTCTAACTCAATTCTGATTATTAAGGTTGGTTTACTGTATGAACGAACAATAAGCAAAAAATCTTATTGTGTAGCTACGGAGCTTTACTGCTATTTTTTCATGATAGCATTTCGAATAGTCAAAATTAAGTCATCTCCAAATAAAATTGAAAAATTTAGTAGATTGAAGACAAAGGTTATGTTTAAAGTTAATATAAATAGAGGCATTACTCAAACTCTCAAGAGCAGTTGGCTATCTGTGGTGGATCAAAAGTTTTGCTCTTCTAAAATTGTTGTAATAATTCCTATTTGCGTTAGTTTACATTGAGGGATCTCAAACTTAGTCGCAGAGTCCTATAGAGTATTACTTTGAAGAATAATTAATTAATCAAATCAAGTTATTAGGCTCTACAAAACTACATATATTTTAATTGAAATTTATAAATAGAGAAATTTTGTCTGGATAGATAGGGGTTATTATGGAGACTTATACGGATGTGGCTTTATTGCCTTCGTCAATTACTGTTGCTGAGTACTTGTTTCATAGATTAAAACAAATGGATATTAGAACTATATTTGGTTTACCAGGTGAATTTAACATGCCTTTAATAGATAAATTATACAAGATACCTAGTCTTCGATGGGCTGGTAATGCTAATGAACTTAATGCTGCATATGCTGCTGATGGTTATGCAAGATTAAAAAGGTTGGGTTGTCTCATAACTACATTTGGTGTTGGTGAGTTATCTGCCTTAAATGGTATTGCAGGATCATTTTCTGAACATTTAGGTATTTTACATGTTGTAAGGATGCCTCCACTTCGGTTAAACCACTCAATTGTATTGATCCTCTTTAGGAATGGAGATTACAAGTTTCCCATGAAGGCCAGGGATATTCTTGTTACCCCCAGAATTTCCCACCGGAATTTGTGGGATGAAATGATAAAGCCTAACCAAGCTTGGATTTCAAGCGCGGGTATATTGGCCTACCGTTATTGGCGGGGGTCAAAAATTCCCAAGGGAAAGGGCGCTGATTAAGAAAAAAAAAATTGGGGGGAAAAATATTAACATTTTTAAAATTTATGTGAACCCCGTTTTTAAATTTTTTAGGAAA